CCCTATGGACAGAACAGAGGTTATAAAACGTCTTCCAGGAAAATATAAAGACCCTGGTGGTAATGACACTGTTATGGTTCTTAACGAATCTGTTTTAGATATTCTAAAAAACAATCTAGGGTTAGGCACAAATCCAACTACAAAACGCAAACCTCGTGGTCCAAAGGTGGTACCAGGTAAAAGAATTCATTCTTTAGTTGAGTCAATTCCATCAAGTTCAACAGAGATAAAAAGCAACACAGATAATGATTGGTACTGTACTTTCTGTAACAAAAAATGGGTAGAGTTAAGCGACGACGTGTGGGTTCAATGCGACAAATGCAGTTATATATATATATATATATATATATATATATATATATATATATATATATATATATATATATATATATATATATATACATATATATATATATATATATATATATATATATATATATATATATATATATATATATATATATATATATATATATATATATATATACATATATATATATATATATATATATATATATATATATATATATATATATATATATATATATATATATATATATATATATATATATATATATATATATATATATATATATATATATATATATATATATATATATATATATATATATATATATATATATATATATATATATATATATATATTAGGGTAGGTCGATTTTGGTATGTAAGTACCGCTTAACAATATAAAGTTGGATATTTATATGTAAGTAACAAAAATAGCAAACTTAAGTGTTTTAAATTAATAATTTTTTGCGGAACTTCGATAGAATTAGTGGATTTGCATACTTCGTTAAAAAATTTTCGCTAAAATTTATTTTTCTTCGTTTTTTAAAGCACGCACGTATTATATTTTGTTTGTAAACAATATTTCACTTCGTAGTCTTTAGTAAAGCCTTTTTACTGCTTTTAACATTTAAAACGCCAAAAAATCAAATTTATAAGCGGTTAATAAATATTTCTTAAATTGTACTTTTTAATTCGTCCCATTTACTTTTGTAGAATGACATAAAGTAGTTAAAATTTACTAATTGTATAAATATTGTTCACAAGTTTTTATTTTGTGCAAATTTAAATAGTTTAGTACTTTAATAAAGTGTTATTAATTTATTGCAAATACTTTATATGTCTCGTAATGATAATATAAACAAAGTATTTAGTTTTAGAAAATAAAAATGCCAAAAATAAAAAAAAGGCCCTTTACGCGATCGAAAAGTGAAGAGAATTATGGAGGTTGGCCTTGTGATTTAGTTACAACGGATTCATGCACATACAGACAATTAATTCAGTTTTATTACTTCCTAGATTGTTCTGACATTGAGCCAAACTTTTGGACAATTGTTAAGCGTTTTTCATGTGTTTTAAAATCTATATGGTTATCTGTCAATCCACGGTTCCCTTTAATAAACGATAAGTTTATTGAAACAAAAGTTAAAAATCTATTTGCAACTGTAAAAAACATAAATCGTAAACATTCAAAAGCAACTATCAAACGAAATATGGATTCTAAACTAGATAAACTTTTTGACATATCTGCTTGTTGCTGTTTATTGGACATTGTTTCATGTAACAATGTTTATGTAAAGTGCAAAAATGAAAAATGCAAAACGGAACACATTATTTGCATATGCCCTAAAGAAGCAAAGGTCCGAATAGAAGAAAGAGTTTATATACGAGACCAGCGTTTAAAAACAGGACCAAAAGGTCTATATCAGATGTCTTCAGTAGATACGTCTGCTTTAAAACACAATAACAGGATTAAACAGAAGGAAGGAAATATATCACATCACAAACATATTAATAATGAGGTTTCAGGTTCATTACCAGATCCTCCAGAATGCATATCTGAAATTATAAAACCTCAGGTATTTTAATTTATATATTTAACACTTGTTAATAATAAAATCATTTATCATAAATATTTTAAGTTTTTTACTTAAGCAACATGATGAATGGCAACCGAGTAAAAGAAATCAGGCAGATTATAGTATTCAAAAGTTTCCAAGATATGCTATGGAGCTGGTCAGAGGCGGATGTTCTTCAAATCTCGGCGCAGCTCTTGGAAACGCCCTTGAAGAATATGACAGCCTGGAGAGCATCCGTGCTATTCTTTTAGACAATACTGCATCAAACACAGGTTGGAGGAGTGGTTTGGTGGTTATTCTAGAAGAGTTGATAGGAAGAAAACTTCACACTATAGGCTGTAGTCTTCATCAGAATGAACTCCCGCTAAAAGCCCTTTTTAAAAAGTTAGATGGAAAAACAACCGGTCCACAAAATTTTAGTGGACGAATTGGGAATAGATGTTCTGAAGAAATTCATAGACAACCTCAAGTAGAGTTTGAAGCAATTGAAACTTCTATCACTGAAGGATATATTTCAGATGAGATATTAAAAGATATTAGTCATGATCAAAGGCTTCTTTACGAGTATTGTAAAGGTTTTGGATTAGGTAAAGTAGACGACAAATGGGCTAATTGTAAAATAGGTCCGCTGAATCATGCTCGATGGTTAACTCTTTCTATACGAATTCTTTGTTTATACACTCAAGATGTTTCTCCAAACGCAAGTCTGAAAAAGCTTACCCATTATATTGTTAAAGTTTATGTTCCATCATGGTTTCAAATAAAGAAATTTTCCAAACTGCAAGATTCCCCCAGATTCTGTTTTTCACTATTAATCAATTGAATCTTATTAAGTTTGATGATGTAAAGAAGATTGTAAAAAAAAACATTCAAGGTAATGCTTTCTGTTTGATACCTGCAAATTTTCTCTACGCAATGGTTAAAAATAATGATGAGCAGATCAGAACTTTTGGATTTAAGACAATACTCGCTCTCAGAAAACAGTAAACTTTTAAAAATTAGTTTTCTTCTTTATAATTTATCAGGCATCTGTATATAAAGCTTTTTAAAAAGTATATTATGCTAATTAAGTTTCAATTAAGTATAATCATTTTTTTTTTGTTTTTAGCAAGTTTTTTGAAAGTAACATTGTTTTTATTTTCACAAACAAAAGCAGTTATGGAATAGAAAAGAAAATTCCTCAAATAAATTGGAATGCTACGAGCTGGATATCTCTTATTATTATTGCTGATCTTGCTTATATCGAAATGGAGCCACCAACTACAAAAGATATTTCTGATGAAGATATTTACACATTCATTAAAAGTAAAATAAAGCCTAATATTCAAGACCTCCCCTCTCATTCCCAGAGTGTTGAGAGGTGTGTCAAATTAGTTTCTGAAGCTTCTAACACAGTATATGGATTTGAAGCCAGGCATAACAAAACTACTTAGCAGAAAAATGCGTCAAAGGTTTATCTCAAAAGGACATTAAGCCCGTTCTCCATTCATAACTTTTTGCGCTTTAGAGAAGCGGAAAAGTTCTTTGAGCATGCGCAAACAGTTTTTTTAAACCCGTTCTCCAATCAGAACTTTTTGCGCATGATCAAAGAACTTTTCCGCTCCTCCAAAGCGCAAAAAGTTCTGAATGGAGAACGGGCTTTATTCTCAGTCGTACGATAATTTATTTGCTTAACTTGCTTGTTACATTCTTGAAATAATTTTTTTTTAGTTTATTATTGCTTTTTAAATGACTTATTAAACTAATAATGATTATTTATTGAATTTTAATTAGCTTTTAATTCGATAATCTATGTAACTCAATAAACAAAAAATTTATGCTTAAATATAAATTGGACTTGTGACATTTTTGCATAATAAAAAGAAACGATAAACTGTATCAATAAATTTAAATACAATATTTGAGTTTTTCCTTGGTGTGTCAAACTCTTTTTGAATAAAATTTAATGTGAACGAATCGAAAAATATGAAACCACAAGCAAAACGTTAATATTTTTATAGAAAATGTTGATAAGGGTACCCTAAATTTTGATTGTTAATCTGCAAGCCGCCGTTTAACTAAATACTTTCAACTTTTCATTTTTTTGTTTTATGTATATAAATACATCTTTCAGTACCTTAGCTGTTACGAAATTAAAAAAAAAAGTGAAAAATCGATCCACCCTAATATATACGCTTTAAAACGATTACATAGAAATATTTATATTTTATGGGTCATTGGGCAACAGAAGTTTCAGACTAAACAACTATTTTGACTTCTTTGCTATTATAAACCTAAACGTATCAAAGCTTTTGTATTTTTTCTAACTCCCAACACGACGTTTTCATTTTCTTTAATCATATTACACATTCAAGGATCACATGCCTTCAAATACAATACACAAAACACAATCTAAGCAACCGCGTAATAGAATGTCTGTCTCGTGTGTTTGTTTAAGCGGTTTCTGAAAATTCTTTACATTTGCAATTGGTAAACAGATAAACAAACACACTTTTGCGGCATGCCAAACATTTCTACCAATTTTCAATTTCGTATTAAAAAATGCACTATATCTGCATATGCAAATGCACTATATCTAAATGCACCGTTATATATGGACAACTTCAAAAGAAAAATTTTGAAAAAGCTAATAATAAAATTTTAAAATGACCTAATAATTTTTTTTTTTTTTAGTACTGATAAAATATATAGATAAAATATTATGCTTTGAAGTTTTACCATTTTTTAACCTTTTATAAAAGATCGATTACTAGTTTACAAAAAAATACATTTATAAACATTACATTTATTAGTAAATATGCTTTTGAATAAAATATTTCAAAAGTTTAAAATTTAAATAAAAGGTCAGGAAAAAAGAAAGAAATATCATAAAATGGTTAAAGAATTTTAATAAAAATTATTGATTCTTTTTTTATATAAAATACCGTCAGCTGACATATTGACGAGATTCTTTTTAATTTGATTTAAAACGCTTGGATTTTTAAAGACGCGCGCTTATCAGAAATCCTTTTAAAATGCAGAGCATGTGATTTAACATTTTAAAAGTAGTTAAAGCAACCCCATCAAGCAGAGCTTATAGGAAACTCTCAATTCAAAATTAATCATGCATATCAATAATTAAACATTAGGCTGAAGTTCTTTGCATCTTTTGAAATAGTATGTTCTTGATTTTTTTAAAGTATTTTGCCTGTTTTTTGCTAATTCGAACTGTTTCGGCATGACGTCACAAAACTAACATTGGGAGGTTAAAATTTGGGTTGTTCACGATTCGGTTTAACAAACTTAACGAAGGTAAATAGCTATAAACATTTCAAACTAACATATTTGTTTTTATAATAATCAACGCTGGATCGAATGTGATGGTAACATCTTAATTATGACATAAGTGGCAGTTGCAAATTTTTTTTTTTGCGATGTCACTATTAATGCTAACAGTTTTTGGATTAGGGTTTTTTGTGGAAAACGTATTTATTACTCTAAAAGTCTCTCTTAACATTTCTTTATGCAGTGTTGCGCAAACATCCATAGTGCTGCGCAAACATCCATTACCATAGAAAAGCAATTATATTTTTCATTTTACAAAAGATGGCTTTTCATGATGGGTATGAGACAAATTTTATTCATCAATACAATAACCTAGACCAGATATGACAAATAAATTTTAACTAATATAAAAAACAACCCAGATATGACAACAGCATTTCATACAAACATGAAAACAAGTTTTCATAAACAGCATCAAAAGTGCCAAAACAAGACAACGAGAGGCAACCTTACCAGAAAGGCAACCTTGCCAGATACTGATTTTGCAATTAATTTAATGCATGATTTTGAGAGATCCATTAATGAAAGAAGAATTAAGAAAGCTAAGAAGATTAACTTATTCTCAGATTGCAATAAGGATTGGTCCAAATAAATTTTATTTATTTTACTTTGAATTTACAGCCATTTGATTTTATACGCATAATTAACATATAAAGCCACTTTAGCAAAATTTAAAAAGTAAATTTATTATCAGAATGCTTATCTAAACTTTTTTTTTAGCTTGCTTTCCAGCTGGAAAAGAAAAAAAAAAATAATAACAATCCCTTGTAAAAAGTGATGTTCTATTTGTTAGAAATAACGTAGCTACAGGTACAGGAGCAATTAAAATGTCTGAAATAAATATTAGAAAGAGTATGCTCACTAGAATCAAATAACGATTCGGAGATAAAGTTATTAGCAAGCAAATTAAATATATAAATTATTAAAAATAATAATAACTATTTATAAACTTAATATTAAATGACATGCATGCTTATTGTAAACAATACTACATATTATATAATATAATTATGAAATTTTTTTTTTCTCTAGATGGGTAAAGATTACAAGGACCTCGAAAAAGATCTCTTTTGTGAAAAGAAAGAAGTTTCTTTCCCAAAGCGTTATTTATTGGCAGTGATGGTCTTTCTTGGTTTCAGTGTTTTGTATGCACTCAGAGTAAATTTAAATGTTGCCATCGGTGCAATGTGCAATAACCACACTATTTATGAAAATGGTTTTTATGTTAACAAAGTGGCAGAGTTCAACTGGGACTCAAAATTGCAGGGTGAGTAAAATATATAATTTTACAAAAAGTAATATGTAAATAAAGAACAATTAAAACTTATATATATATATATATATATATATATATATATATATATATATATATATATATATATATATATATATATATATATATATATACATATATACACACACACCCTCCCTATCAATAATTTTTTTATTCATTTATTCAGCAAATTTGACCCTTTTTTGACTAGTAAGTCGGCAAATGTAGACCCTTTCGACAAGTTAGTCGGTAAAATTAGACCCTCAGTCGGCAAATGTCGATAAGGCAGTCGGCAAATTTTAAAAAGTCGACAATAGTTACAATGCCCCCTCCCCCCCCACGTGACACCTACTTGCGTCGGCTCTGTATATATATATATATATATCGTCAGCTCGAAATACAAATGTCGTATTGATAATTTATTAAAATTATATATATAAATGCAATTATTTAATATATGTAAATTTAACATTATACAAACAAAAAATTATTTTGTCTAATTTTTATCTAATTTATGTAAATTTAACATTATACAAACAAAAAATTATTTTGTATAATGTTATATTGAAACGTTATACAAAAATAATTTACATTTACATAACTTTAAATTTACATAAATTAGATAAGTACATATTTATATATAATTTTAATAAATTTTCGATACGACACTTGTATTCCGAGCTGACGATATATCTTTCTGGTTTTTAAAGCTCTCCCAGAAGTCTTTATGGTCTTATTGCAGAGCACCGCGAAAGAGCGGTGGAAGTTCACGCTTTCTTCCTAACCAATGTCACTTTTTGGGCTAGAACTGGCGTCAAATCTTTAAAAAACATATAAAAGTTATATAAAGTTTAGCTAGTAGTAAAAATCAAAAAAGGCGTTTATTAGCTAAGCTTTATATCACTTTTAAATGTTCACCAAACATTAAATCCTTATCTTTAGAGTTCCCTATAAAATAGCTTTAACAACAACAAATCAATAAATTGCTAAATACGAAGATCTTTAGTCTTTGCAATGAGCGGAGTTTTCATAAGGTTTAAACAGACTTTTAAAAAGATTTAAACTGATTTTAAAAACTTTTTTTAAAAAAATTTCTAAAAATATATATTTTAAGAGATTTTAGAGATTTTTTTTTTACAGACACAAACAATGAAACATATAATTTGCTTTTAATCGTTTAACTGTCCTTTTTTCAGTTGTTTGGCGTGAGGCGACTGCTTAAGAACATATTTTGCAACAATAAACAAGCTGCTTAAGTTGCATATGCATAAATAAACAACATATGCAACAATAAACAAGCATACATAAGTCGCATATACATAAATGTAAACTACAGAATGTGCCTAAGCGCAAAATTTTTCAGCATGCATAACCACGCTAAACAATTAAACAAACACAAGTGTATGTGTGCAATTGCGTAAATGCCGATTTTGGAAGACTTCTTAAAGAGAGTTTTTAACTGAGAGAATACGCACAAAAAAGTTTTATTATTTTTATATTAAATAAAAATTAAGAAATCTTGTTAGTTTTGCATATTTCATAGAACATTTACATGCATAGAATTTAGATACATTATTACTAATAATTTATGTAAATTCTATGTATGTACTTATAAAACTAATAATACTAGTTTTACATATTTTATTAAACAAATCTTTGGTTTGGCTGAAAAAATGCCTTTACTTTTTAATCGATTTTTAACTTTTCTAGAAAAAACTTTGTTATAAAGATAGTTCTTTATAATAACATTTTTTTTAATCACAGGATGATTCAAAACTTATGTTTCAAACTTTCCTAAAGTTTTGTAAAATTAAATTCAAAAGATTCGATAAGGGCTTTTAAAAAATTCGACGAAGGCTTTGAATAAGTTCGATGAGGGCTTTCAATAGATTCGATGAGGAGTTTAAAAAATTCGATAAGAGATAGTTCAATGAGGGTTTTGATTTTAAAAGATTTATGAGCAGCCATGATGTAGTTGTTAGAGTTCTGGCTTAAAACCCAGAAGTCCGAGGTTCGACTCTAATTTAATTTTTTAACAATTTTAGTTAATAACTAAAATTGTTAAAAATGAAAATGAGAAACTATTGTGTTTTAGAGTCATTTAAAACTTCCGCCAATGTAAAAATTTCCTTTAAAAAAATGTTTTATTTTAAACTTTAAATAAAAACAAAGCAAAAAAATTAAGTGTGACAGTTTCACTTTTTTATACAAAGTTTTTATTTACCCAGTGCCGGATCAAGGAGGAAGGGGGAGGGGGCTAGCCCCGGGCCCCGCAAATTTAGGGCCCCCTAAAATTTTAAGGAACCTTTTTTTTTTTTTAAATCATTTTTAGGCTTTGGCCCATAAAAAGGCCTCCAAAAACAAAAATTGCCCCGGGCCCCAAGTAGTCTTAATCCGCCACTGTCTGTACCGTCAGTTTTTAATTGTGTTGTTTTTTGTAGTATTATTTCTATATTTAAGCGATTTTTTTTTAAGATGCTCATCTAAAAAAAAAATCAACAACTTTTAATTGGCATCATTTTAATCTCAACACCCCCTCCCGAACTCTTCAACACCCACTTCCCCTTTTTTTACTAGCATCATATGGATGACCCCTAAAAAAGTTATTTACAAACATTATTAGCCAAATTCATACTTTTACTATTGCGCTTTAAAAATGGAAAGAAATTAATAGTTAACAATTTATTTATCCATTACGTCTGGAAGATTTCCTATTGTAATTATTTATTTATACTCAGATCAGAAATATAATTATCATCAGTTTTTTGCTTTTGTTATAGTTCTGCAAAATAATGTTTCTAAAAATGTGCATAAAGCATGTCATAATTATTATGTTGTTTTTTAGATTCTTCTTATAATAATGAATTATGTTTATAATTTTGTTGTATATTTTAAACTTACATCTGTTTAATATAGCGAACAAAAAATAAACCAAGTTTGAAATTTAAAGAAAAAATATCATGAAGATAAGTATACAAGAAAACACGAGAAATAAAATGTAACAGTTTATAAAAGGATATAGCAATAGCAAAACAAATTGTGATGCTGAAGTTGATATCCCAGGAAAAAACGTTTTAAAGAATTTCTATAAACTTTTGAAACATATGGACTATAGAAATTCTATAGAATTCTATAGAGTTTCTATAGAATTTCAGCTTATTTCTATAGAAGTTCCTATAGAACTTTTTTTTCTATAGAAAAAAAAGTTTTATAGGAATGTCTATAGATAAAGTTAGGCAATCTATAGAAATTCTATAGAACTTTTTTTCCTGGGATTATTTATTTTTATTTTATTTTATTTTTTATATAACTTTAGTAGTATGAAAAAAATGTAAACTACCTTTAACATGAAATGTGTGTTATAGCAAGCTAATTATTTTTCATAATGAGTTTTTACATATGGTACGCATGAGATTTTCTTTTGGAGTTTTTATCAAATGTTCAAACTGTGACTTTTAAAATCTCTTTCATTCATCTCCATTATTCATCTATAAATCACAGTGTTTTTAGTTTTAGTTAGCCATATAATTTAAGACCTTCTTAGGATATAACAGAAATAGTTGCCCAACTACTACTAAGGAGGCGCAAGCAAAAAATTCTGAGTTGAGTCAAAAAAATTTATTATTCATCATCCTAGGCAAGAAGCACTGTAATGCAGCTTTACATCTTCATTAACCTATTAGATGAAGAAGTGGTGTGGCATTAATCAAAACAAGTTTCTACTTACCCCTAAGTTTTTTTCTAGGAGGCCATTTTTAAATATCTGGATGCAGTAAACATCTGCTGAATATGCAAATTTTTATTGAGACAGTCTCCAGCCTTTACTTAAACAAGAGCCATAAGTCAGGGAGTATTTTAATTCAGTGATAATCTCTCCTAACCTTTGCATATATAAAAGCAAATCCTAAAAGACTAGAGGAGATAAAGGAAGTTGTAGTATATTACATTTTACCAGTAGCAGGGTAATCATGATAAGCCTTATTTTGACTTTAGACTATTAGACATTCCTGCTGGTTTAGATTATATTGCTATTGAATTGTCAATTTCACTATCTATAGTATAGTATAGTTTTTAAATATTTTTTCTTTGATTATTTTTCATATTATGTATTTCTGTAAAGTTGATTATCTAATGTGGTTTCCAGAAATCCTTTACTATTTACATTTTCGTAGCTGATGTCATTCTATGAAGCATTCTCATATATTCTTTATACTATTTTTCATAACTCTAACAAGACTGATAATTTAAAAAAAAATTCAAAATAAATATTTTTTAAACCAAAACAAATTTACCCCTTGGAAAAGTTGTCAAAACTCACAGAACTCTGCTCTTCACTAGTCTTTGCTTGAAGTGCACAAATTCAACTATCTTGAAATTAATATGGAGTTTACGTTACCACATAATATCTTAATAAATAGATATCCATAACTTCTATCCAAATTTCTAATTTTGACATAAATTTTAATAAACAACTGTTTAAAAATCATAATTATTTAAAAAATGTATATTATCATTTTAAAATAAAATTAAAAAAATGTATTTTTTAAACATACATTTTTTTGTGTTTTTAGGAATGGTTTTGGGTTCTTTTTACTATGGGTATATTGTACTTCAGATTCCTGGAGGTTGGTTGGCAACTAAGATTGGAGGCACACGAATATTTGGTTGTGCTATTTTTATAGCATCTGTGCTGACTCTTTTGACTCCAGCAGCAGCACGATACAGCGTTTATGCATTAATTACACTTCGTGTTGCAGAAGGTGTTGTTCTTGTAAGAAATTTTTATACTTTTTAAAAGATTTCTTTTCAGTATTTAAAAAAAAATTTTGATTTTTAAATCTTTATATATTTCAGTATATTCATATTTTAGTTTTAGTATATTTATTATTTCTAGCTTTAGTTTATTTATTTATTTTAATTTCAGTATATACACTCAGCGAAATTTCCATAAGTCCACTAACAATTTGTACATATGAATAAATTCACAAAGTATTTGAATTTTTTTTTTGTTTATTACAAGAGTTATTAGGAATAAATAAATAAGCAAATAATATTTTAATAGAAAATAATTATTAATTTATTTCGTAAAACTTAAAAGTTAGAAATATTTCGAAAAAACAGGCGAAATTTCATCAAAGGTAATCCTGTCAATAATACTTAAAACCATTAGGCCCATCTAGCTTAAACTTTTTTTAAATCTTGCACTTGTATGTTTTTTTGTCAATGGTGGTTTTGTGATCATTATTTTCCATTGGAATTGTCCTGATTTTGACAAAATTTGTTGGACATGTCTTGTAGTTTTGGGTAATTCAAGTTCAGTCCTTATTTGTCTTGCTGTTCGTACTCCGGATGATGCCAAATGCAAAATGGAAGAATGTTGCCTTTTGGTTGTTTTTTTATTTCTGCCCTCAAAGTGATTTTTGTTGTAATTTTATATAAAATTGTTATAATAAGTTTATAAAATTGTTCACTGCATGATGAGGCCTTTTGATTTTCTTTGCAATTTGTCGATTGGAAAAACCCATATCATTGTAAGCTTTTTCTTCCTTATTTAACACCTTTCCGCATGGCATTGTAATAATTAAATAACAAATCTTAATTAAAAATACATAAAACTTTCATATAAAACAAACAATATGAAAAATCTTACTCAAACTTCAACTCTTATTACGTGTTCAAATGGAACTGGAAATTTTGCGTGTATATATACCAATTTTAAAAACATTTTAGAAAATTTAGTTTCAATTGTTTTAGAAACACATAAAATTCTCATAAACGCATTTGTTTGTAATGTGTCTAAGAAAGAAAATTTTTGTGGTTAATTTTATAAACGCGTTCCGCATAAAATCTGGAATAACTACATGGAACTATAGAAATTTCGCTGAGTGTATATATGTATTTTTTAATTTCAGTATATATATTTTTTAATTTCAGTATATATATATTTTAATTTCAGTATATTTATTAAGTATTAATGCGGTAATGGTAGAGCACTTGCTTTGTAAATGAAAAGTTCTGAGTTCAATACTCACCACATCCCTGGTCATATTCAACTTGCTTCTCTGTGTCAAAACTTGAGTTTTAAAGTTAAAGGGTTGAGAGAGTTGAAACAAAAATTAAAAAAAAAAGAAAAGAAAAAAAGACTGACCCCTTCAACTGTAGTGGCCCCTGTTGCTAAACTGACAGAAAAGTCATTTTGTGAAGTTGAAATTATTTTAAGACAAAAGTCTTGTCTGAAACTTTAGATTGAATATAATTTATCAATTGTTTATAATATTTAGTGTCACTTATATTTAAATTAACAGGCTTTCTAGATTTTTGGAATGCATTTAATAAGCCTCTAAAATGTGGTTCATTTAAAGGAGATGAATTGATCATTGGCCAACCCAGAGTTTAATTTAGAATCTTCTTTTGTTATGAATTTCATTTATATTAGTGTGCAGTTTAGTTTTATTTGCAGCTAAGAAGGAGTTTGAAATTTTTTGGTCTGAAATAATATCTACATTTTTGTAAAGGCATATGTGTGGACTACTTTTCAGAGGGGTCAGAATTGCCTCTGACCCAGTCTTTATTTTCATTAGATGATTTACAGATCTTGTAGATCATCCAATGAAAATAAAGTTCACTAAAAACTTTTATAATGGAGAAGAGCCTTGAGCTTCTTCAAAAACAAAATTTATAGACAAATAATTAAACATTTTCCACAATGACTCCCAAAGGCCATTGATATCCTGGAGCTGTTTGAACTTGGCAGAAGATGCGTTAATACTGAGAGAAAATTATGTTTCCAGCAGTTGACAAACTTGGTATAACAAATATCTAAATCTAATTAGCAACCCAAATATCTTTTTTGCTCATGGTGTATATTTCATTTAACTGAATTTTTTTAATAACAATCTCTTTAATTGTCAATACATCGTTTATTAGTTAAAACAAAACTTTAAAACCTTTGCTATCATAAACCTTTGCCAAACCTAAGCATTTTTCTGTAACATTGTTTTTTTTATTGATTGAAGCAAAAAATTTTGTAGCAAAAAAATAGTTAAAAAAAGGTTCAGCTGTTTTATCTGTCATAAAAATATTTAAATCTGAATCAATCTTTAAATTTATCTTCCAAATATTCATTAAAACACTTAACAATTGTATCTTCTGTTTTTGTTAATTAGTATGTTGCACAAATGTTTGCATCATAAAGATGTTTGTCAAAAATCTCAAGAGTTCTATAAAATAAAATATTTTTTTAGATTTTTTTATGAAAATATTTCCCATAAGTTTTGAAACCCGGATGAACTTTTATTATCTGAATCAAAGAGACGGATTCATAAGAAGATTGGGCAATAAGGTTGATTGCTCTCCCACACCCCACTCCCACCCCCACTTTCTATAGATATTTTGAAAATAATTTTTTTTTGTAAATTTATATATTTAACACAACGTGTTGTTTGAAAACAGAAATTAGGAAGTAAATTAGGAAGGCTGTTTAAAAGTGATATACAATTTTATTAAAATTGTGAGGTACAAAAAAGCAAATTGGAACATTGAAATATCAATAGCTGACGTAGTTTCCTAGTTACATAAATTAAGACAAATATTTTAGAAAAATTTGCTTAAAGGGATCCCAAACTGCCAACACATGTTGTGTTCATATTAAAGATAATGTTAAAAAAAAAGGTTTGAACCAAATTTTTTTGAATAAAAATAAATAATGAATGCATACCGTGAAAAACAAATGTTGTTGTTTTTGCCGAAGCTCGCCTTCTCCATTTTTTTCAACTACTCGGAGTCTTCAAATTATGCGTCGCAATCTACAGACTTTGGCAATTCCTTTGAAGCGCGTTTAATTCATAAAAGTTTTAGTATTTGACGTCACGGTAGACTTTTAACAAATGAAACTCTAGAAATATTTTTATTTATTTTTATTCGAAATTTTTTTGATTATTTGTTTAGTTTTTTTTTTTCTACTTTTAATATTTAAAAAGATATTAAAAACCTTAAATATTTTATGCTGGTTCGTTGCTATAAATTGTTATTGCGCCATATATTTAATGTTTATAAATTATGAATATTTATTATCTTAAAAATTGTTTTACATTAATTACCCGTATAAAATTAGTAACAGCTTTTTTATTTAGTTAGACGATATTTCGTTTGCTTTGCATGAAGTTCGAAAAGTCAAACGAAAAAAATTAGTTTGAATAATCACGAAATATATTTAAAACTAATTATTTTAATGACGGGGGTTCTTAAGTTTTTTATATCAAATGTAGGTAAAAAAATAAATAACTAAATAAAAAGTTCAGTATTAAACACCATTTCTTTATTCTATTGCAACTGTAAATATTGAATTATTAACTTGAACTAAATTTACTTTTTTAGTTAGAACGACTAAGCAATAAAAATAAAATGCCCCTAAAATTATGCGAGGTTGTGTTGTTTATTTGATAATTGTTGTTGGTAATGTTGTTTATGTTGATTATTTTCATAAATATCAAAATAGTTCCAGATTAATCTGTTCGTTGCTTTGCTCATTGTTGATTTGTTTCTAATTTAATTTTATCTCAAACTATAATTATATGTTAAAAAAGAAAAGTTTTTATTTCATCGGGCGCTCTTTTTATAAAAGAGTAGAACAAAAGAGAAAGAAAAGTTTCGCGCAATTAAACTTTGAATGAGTTGTATAGAATAAATATTTTTTTTGCTTCACTCGTTCTTTTTTTAGATGAGAGAAATAAAAGTTTAATAGTAAATTTTTTTTTGAATAAATGAGAATTGGAAGAGAAAATTGCTTGAAAATTTGTATTTGTTAATTGTGTTTTTAAAATTTTTTAATTTTTCATGTTAAGAGACAAATGCCAATTACAACACAAATTTGGAAATACCAAATATAATATGTTTTTTAATCCGCGTTATGACATTTTAACAATTTAAATTACCATCTATCTTGATTTATTGCCTTTAATTAATGTGTAAATTATTGCGTTATTTAATAATAATTTGTCCGTATTTTTGTTAAATATTAGTTGTATAAAACGGGCGAAAATATACAAACTTTATGTTTTTTATTTGATGGTTATAAAATATTGAACAGTAAACTTATAATCAAAATTTATAATGCTTGTTGCAATTAATTGTACTTTTAATGCAAAATCAGGATCTCACAAATCCTTTCACGAATTTTCATATCTGATACTACTGTCAACTGTATTGTTTAGAGTTCTCTTGTACTTTTTTTTCATAATCTTAACAGGTTCTAATTGGTATAAAGTCTAATTGGTATAGAGTAAAATTTCATTATCAAAAATCAAATGTAAAATAAAATGGTATTTCCTTTTTATCCGTATCCAATTCAGCAAATTTAGCAATTTTAATTAAATCAGCGTGATCAAAAAAATTTTATAATAAAAAAAGTTAACAATTCATTAAATATCTCTAATTAATACTGTCAGTTTATGAAAGTAATTGTTAATAAATACTTTTTTTCAATGGGAAAACAAAAAATTGTCATAGCGTAAAAATAACCAGAGAAGTTAGAAAATAGTTCCCATTCTTTAAATAGAAATAATTAAGAATCAGAATATATAAAACTGCGCTCTCTTGCGCAAAAACAAGAGACTGTATATAAAACGTTCTATATAATGTAAAATACTCGTATGAAAATCATGAGATTGGTAAGTAAAGCTTTAATATTTGTTTTAATTTAAATAATTAAAGAAATATAAGTAAGATATATAAATCTAAAAATTATTAAGATATCTGTAAAAAATAAGTTGCTCCTATAAAATAAAAATAATTTATTGTTTTTACTTTTTACAAAATTTTTTTTGCGATGTTTGGAAAAATAATACAAATAAATTTGTTTTGCTGTATGTTAAAAAAATAGTACAGTAGAAAAACGCAGCTTAGGGCTCGTCCATAAATTACGTCACGCTACAGGATGGGGGTGGGGTGGGGTGGAGGGGTTGGTGGTTTTGTGACGACTCATACAAAACTTGATTCTTAAGTATTACAATTTTGTGACAAGGAGGGGGGAGGTCAAAATTGGTCAAAAATTGTGTGACGTAATTTATGGACGACCCCTTAGTTTAATTACACTTTTCTTTTGTTAAAAGTCTACCGTGACGTCAAATACTAAAACTTTTATGAATTAAACGCGCTTCAAAGGAATTGCCAAAGTCTGTAGATTGCGACGCATAATTTGAAGACTCCGAGTAGTTGAAAAAAATGGAGAAGACGAGCTTCGGCAAAAACAACAACATTTGTTTTTCACGGTATGCATTCATTATTTATTTTTAATCAAAAAAATTTGGTTCAAACCTTTTTTTTTAATATTATCTTTAATATGAACATAACATGTGTTGGGAGTTTGGGATCCCTTTAAAAAGTTTTTTTTTGTGTGGGTTTGCCTGTTCACAAATTATTAAACCTGCAAATCACCCTCCCCCTCCTTACTAGATGGTCTGAATTTAATTCAGATCAAGGGTGGTTCATAGTTACACTCCATTTTTTTATAGTTATGTCTGTTATAAATATAAAAATAATAAAAATTTGGTTTGTGATAAAAAAATTTATGTAGTTATTGTCTTTTTAATTAAAAATTGTTTAAAACATTTTACAACTTTTATAAAGTTAGGTTTTTTAAAACATTTTCTTGAAATTTCAATATTAGAGGTTTCGAAATCTAAGGCTGAACATTTTCTTTTTTAATCTTAAGTTTCAGAATTGAAAAAATATTTTTTTATTTTGGGATTGCTTAGGGTAAAAAATGTCAATCCTGAAAAAAAGTCCTATAGGAATCAATTTTTTGAGGTTTTAACTTGTATCAGAAACATAAAAATTTTCATAAACATAAAGTTTTCAGAAAATTTAAATTTCTTAATGATTCCTATTATTACTTTTTAATAATATTTTCTATTCTTTTTCAGGGTGTTTTGTTTCCAAGTAACCATGCCATTTGGGGTCAATGGGCGCCACCACTCGAAAGATCACGATTATTTTCAATTACAGCTGCTGGTTAATTTTTTTTTTATGACAGAATTTAGAATTTAATTTATATATATATATTATTTTTATGACAGAGTTTAATTTTTTTATTACATAATCTATGTAATTAAAAGTTTTTCAATTATTTAAAATGTTTTTTCAGGGTGTCCAGTTGGAACTATATTAACAATGCCTCTGACTGGCCTGCTTACAAAGTATGGGTTTGATGGAGGATGGGCATCAGTATTTTATGTATTTGGTAAGTTATTTTTTGCGATATATATATATATATATATATATATATATATATATATATATATATATATATATATATATATATATATATATATATATATATATATATATATATATATATATATATATATATATTAGGATGTGTCGATTTTCACTTTTTTTGGAAATTTGATTATGCTTAGTTTTTTTTTTATGTAAATCAGTATGAAAAGCATGAAAATATTTTTTTTTCCGAAAGAAAATATTTTTAAGCTACTTTTTTTTACCTTGAAACTTTTTTTTTGAGGACTTAGTTTTTATCTTAGAAAACTGAAATTTTCCATAATCTCCGAAGAAGAACGCAGTTATTTACCAAATAATTTAAAAAAACAAAATTTTAGACCGTATGCAAAAGAGCATTTTTCAATATTTAGTTTAACGGACAACACACTGACGAAAATTAAATTCTAAACATTCACTCTCCATTTTGCAAAGTTGTTTATTTGTTATATTTTTAAAAAGGTTCTCTGTTCTAAAAACTTGATTTTTTATTAATTAAACTAAAGATGTTAAACACCCTCAAAACCAGAAGTAAATCGGCTTGTCAGCTAAGTAAATTGATTGGAAAAGGTTCAGAGTTTCTTCCATTTGAACTCCCAACCTCTCAAGATGTCCTAAAGTATGGATTGTATTTAAGGGAGATAAGTGAAAAAGACCACAGAAACCATACTGTTGATCAGCTTGTTAATAAAATTGTTCCAGGAATTTTATCGCAGTGGAAAAAAGCAAATGCTAAATTCGTAAGTCCAGTTATAAATTCTGAATGAAGATTTAAATAGAAAGTAAAAGAGCTATGGTTATAGCTGTTAAAGTTAGTAATGGTAATGCAGCTATATCAATTACAGAAAGATTTATGGAAAGACTTGATAAACTTTTTGATTTGTTTACTTGCAATTGTAAAATTATATTTTGCATAGAGATTAATTGTAAAGAAAATTGTGACAGAAAAGCGCACATTGAATGTGCTTGTAAAAAAGATCAAAAAATTCCTGTCCTTAAATTAAATTTTGTTAGATATCAAAGAGAAAAAATCAGAACCAAAGGTTTGCTTCAGATAGGTTACATTGATCACATTGAAACTAAGAAACAAAACAAAAGTTTGAAAAGGTGTTCAATAGAAAATCATGCATCACAAATAAAAAAATTAAAAAAAAAGACCAAGAAATTTTAAATGAAGAAAATGAAACTAAGATCATCTTACCCGAAAGTGACTCAAACGAAGTCTCTGGTATTTCAAATAATGAAGTACAAATAAATATTTCAGAAAAAAGAAAAGTAAAAGAATATAACACCATGAATATAAGTAATGTAGCATTAGCAAGCTTAAGGCATCATACAGGGTTAAGAGAAACTGCAGAAATAGCAACTGCTCCCCTTATCGATGCTAAACTTATAACAGAAGGTAATACTAACTATATTATTGATCCTAACTAGGGATGTACCGAAGCTGAAATTTTGCCGAAGCCGAAGCTTCGGCCGAAGCCACTTTGCCGAAGCCGAAGCTTCGGCACTATATATGCTTAAAATTTAATCAGCATTCAGATCAGCAGGGGTGTAAAACAAAAAAGGTACCAAAACTAAGGTCCTTGACTAATAATATAGAAAAATTGTATAAAAATGAGGACGCCAGTAAGGGTTGCTGTTCCAGGCAGGGCAAAAGCTCTCAGCGCCCCTGTTTAAAAGTTTCTCATTATGTCGTTTCTGATACTTGACCGCATCGAGCGTTTTTTTTTTAAACTTAAGCTTTTTTGAAACATTCTCCCCAAATTTTCCTACTTCTAGTTCTACTTTTTCTGTGTGCAAACCATATTAATGTTATATAGCATTTTTTCATGTGCTGTATATTTTATTTTTATTTTTAATGCACCATTTGTTAAATAGAAGTGGATAAAAATCTATGAACATTACTAGAGTAAAATTATCTTTTGCACTTGATCACTCTTTCTTTAAATAAACACTCTTAACTGATCTAGTTGTATCTACAACATAAAAAATCTTAGAAACACACTTTATCTTTTTATTGCTATTTATTTCAATATCTTTTTTTACTTCTCTGTATTCTTTAAACGAACAATTTCTAAGCTAAAAAAAACCCAAGTTAAGACCATTTTGGATTCCACTACAACTGTTGTGCTCCTGCTGTTAAAAAAAAGTACAAATGATAGATTTCTCTCTAACTTCTTTTTTACACACTTTTAAGTATTTTTTTTTTATTATTTTCAACTTTATACTTTGAAATCTTAGTATTCATTCTTCTTCTGTCTCTATAATGGATAAATCTGCATCAGTATCTGAAATCAAATATTAACTATCTGTGATAAAAACTTCCAAAGTAATCTAACAACTCTGTAGAGTGAGCTTTAAATAAAATAATAAATAGAATACTTTATAAATTTTTTATTAATAATTATATTATTATTTACTTTATATTTATAAATAAACAGGGACTGAGCAGGCTGATATTTATTTGATTTAAATTGTTTATTTAATTTAAATAAATTTTGATGATAAATATAAGAGTTCAAAGTAATCAAAGCTTCAACCTTTAATTTATTTTAAATAAAATTTAAAAGTCTTCATAATATCATAAGAAGAAACCAGAATATTGGTTTATATGTTTAATATATAAATTCAATTTAGAAGTATTCATAATATTAATAAAAGAGCAAGGATAGTTATTATCATTGTTTTTCTTTTTCTTTTAATTTATCAAGTTTTTGTTGGCTTTTTTTTTTCTTTTTTTATTCTCCTCGTTTATATTTCATTTGCTTTTCTTCCTTTTTTGTTGTTGAGAACTTTTTGTTTTTTATGTGTCACTCCATTGACTATTTTGTATCTATATAAGTGACACCTAACAAATTTCTGTAAATTTACGATGAAAATTTGTAAATTTTTATTAATATGGTTAAATAAAATTTTAAAAAATTAATCATACACACAATTTAAAATAGTAGCAACGTATCGTTAATCTTCTTTAAAGAGAGATTACTAAGGTTTATCGGTCAAATGTTGAAACCAAATTTTGTTCTATTTGCGGTAATCCCACACAATAATTAATATGAATTTGTTATTAAGGTTTTAAAAACTTTTAATTTGTTTTAAATTATAAGGTTTTTATTCTGCATAGAAATGCTGCTTCAGTTCATCTAAAGTCACACTTGGAAGCATTCAAAGTGTTTGAGGACCTTCCTTAATTTTATTATTTTTTTCAAAATATTTTTACTTATTTATTATTATCCCCTCCATAACAAGACACTTGGGAGTAAATAATACTAAGTATATGGTATAGACTCCAACTTTAACTCTGTAGTCCTAAATTTATAACTTTATTAGACACTGGCAATTAGCTTATTTTTATAACTTGTCCCACAGTAGCTTATAACTTTAATTAATTAAAATTTTTTGCCGAAGCCAAAGATTCGGCAAAAAATTGACCTGGCTTCGGCCGAACCGAAGCTTTGGCAAAATTGCCGAAGCTTCGGCACGCCGAAGCCGAAGCTTCGGTACATCCCTAATAAATATTGGATGGGCAGGAGGAGTGATACAGTGGGTTGAAAAAAAACTTGATAGGAAACTTGTATGGATTGTATGTGACCAACACACTTGGGAACTAGGGTTACAAAGTCTAATTAAGTTTCTTGATGGTCATACTAAATCCATCAACTATTGGTCAGGACTACTTGGTAAGATGCTGAAACCTTGAAATTAATCCACAATTTATAAAACTTTGTGAAGCTTCTCCTCTTATCCATCTTGATCCTTAAATTATTAAAGATCTGACTACTGATCAAAGCTATGCATACCAAATTGTGACCTCCATTAAAACTTGAGTTCTGTCCAAGAGATTAGCATTACTAGAAATTGGTCCTGTTTGTCATAGCAGATGGCTAACTACTGCTTTAATATTTTGCAGAATATGGGTGTCTAATCATGGATTATCAGGTGAGCTTTTAAATAAGTTAAGAATGATAGTTGAGTATATTGTTGGTGTGTATGTTCCTAACTGGTTTAACATTAAAGTAAAGTCAAGCTGGGTGGAGGGACCAATCAACTTACTTGAACAAATGCAATTACTAAAAAATCAAACTCAGGAGGTAATTGACATTGTTTTACCCACTTTTAAAAAATCAGCATGGTATGCTCATTCTGAATCAGTGTTGCAAAGTATGCTCTGCAGTCAAGTTGAAGATGAAAGAAGAGAAGCTGATAATGAAATAGTTGAATTAAGAGGTGCTGAAAATGATGCACTTCAATTCGGAGATAGATCTTTTAGGATTAGAAAGACTCCCAATATCATCATGGAAGCAACCTGTTTGTCTAAACTTATAGACTGCAGTGACATCACAGAACCGCCTCTAACATGTAATTTATCAACTGAAGCAGTTAAAGAATTTATTAACACTCCAATGAAAGTAACTAAGTGGCCCTCTTATACACAATCTGTTGAAAGATGTGTAAAAATGACTTCTGAAAGTGCTTGTCATGTCTTTGGTCAGGTTAGAAGAGATAGATACATTCAAGGTCAGATAGCTAGTAGAGAGCTTATGTCCAGTAATTCTATTAAAAATGACATGAAACATCTAATTCAAAAAAGTAGTTGGGAGTATTAATTTATTCACATTTGTAAGAATGTTATTTACTTATTTTTTATGAAGTGATTATATATATACAGAGTGCTCAAAAGGTTTGTTGTTTTATCTTTCACCAAACTATTAATCTTTTCAATCTTTTTTAAACTATTAATCTAATTGCCTAATTAATCTTTTAAGTTAATGAGCTTGTTTATATATATATATATATATATATATATATATATATATATATATATATATATATATATATATATATATATATATATATGTATATATATATATATATATATATATATATATATATATATATATATATATATATATATATATATATATATATATATATATATATATATATATATATATATATATA